CAACTGGCTACTGAAAACTGGAATAAACCCCAGATTTCCTTGTGTTGGCATAGCGCAAAGGTTGCCTTCCAAACAGACTGTGCCAAAGCTTGGTCTCCGTGGACACAGCCTCTAGTGAGAGCCATGCATCTTCAGTGAAATAGTCCTGGATGCAACCACTACCCCCAAAACTGTAGCAGACATGTCAGTTGTAGAAGCAGCTGTTTTCTAAATATAAGGTCAGGTAGAGGCTAGATATGGAACCGTTTCTGAGGCCAACCCCTGGGCATACAAAATTAGGACCATTTTGCTAAAAATCTGATTCTTAAAAAATGATCTGTTATGGGGTATGGTTAAAGATTCATCTAAACCTGTAGAGAAGGCATAAGAGTAACAGCAGTCAGTGGTCAAAAGGTTCAGAGTCCCCATTTTTTTATTCCCTACAGCAGCTCTTGCAGTTTTCTCCTGCACAGTATTTCAAATGGTTCTTCAATGGGCTTTTTGGTTTCCAGATAATAACTGCTTCTACAGAATTGCCATTCCCAGCAATAAAATCCTAGCCAGAAACTACCTCAATTCTGAGCTTTTGATGCTTTGAATGGGATTTTAAGGAGAAGCTGTGAAATAGAGAAAATGACTATTCCCTGCAGGAGTATTTCAGCTTGTACCATGTCCTTTATACAGTTAAAACTGTTTAAGCTTTAATGAAGATAATCCATGCATATGGTAAGATAATTTTTAAATGGTAGTAAGAAAATAAAGTAGGAAATAAATCTCCCTTCTTGTCTCCCACCACAGCCTAAGTTCCCATATGTTAACTTTTATGACTGTGCTTTTCTAAACAGTTTTATATGCAAATATTATGTATGTGTTTTTATTAAAAAGTATACACAGGGGCCGGGGATTTAGCTCAGTGGTGCTGCACCTACCTTGCAAGCCCAAGGTCCTGAGTTCCATCCCTAGTACCAGAAAAAAAAAGTATACACAAATTAAATCATACCAAATACACCATTATGCTTTTCTGTTTCCTTTAAAAATGTATCCTGGAGTTCTTTCCACACCCACATATACAGACCCATCTCATTGTTTGCAGGGCACTCGGTCTTCCATTGGGTGGGTGTCCAGTGTTACAAGTTACTTAAGAAACTCTTTACTGGTGGACATTTGAGTTGATTTTGGGTTTTCTCTATTTTAAAAAATCTGCAGGGGTTGGGGGTATAGCTCAGTGGTAGAGCATGAACTGGGTTTACCCCATGCCCAGGGTTCGATTCCCAATTTGAAAAAAAAAAGAGAGAGATCTTTGTCACAAACACTTTTGTATACTTGTAGAAGTCTACTGCTTAAGTAGTTTCCTGGAAGTTGCATTTCGGGGTCGGAGTATATGGGCATTTAAAGTTCTGCCAGTGTAATCAGATTGCCCTTCAACGTGGCTGGGTCGGTTTACATTCTCACCAGCCGTGTTGCGGGTTCTTGCTTGCTTTCACACCTGGCAACACTGACAGCATTACATTTTTTTAAAATGTTTTCCAGTCTAGTGGCTCAAAAAATATCTCATGGTGGTTTTGATTTGCATTTCTTAGATTATAAGTAAGGCAGAGAAAATTTTCATTTGCTTATGGAATACTTGTACTTGGTTTTCTGTGAATTGCCTATTTATTATTCTTTGCCTGTCTTTGTTTTTGGGCTCTTTGCCTTTTTCTGCCAAGTATACTTATATTCAGCAAATGTATATTCAATTCTTACTATGTGGGGAGCACCTTGTTGGGCCTGAGAGCTACAGCAGTGAATAAACACCACTGTCTTTGCCCTTGTGGAGTTTACAGTGAACTAGGAGTCAAATATTAATCAAATAATTATCGGGATGGGCATATGAACAAACTGAGGAAAAAGCCTGAAAGGAAACCCATGCATCTCTTAGAGCATGTGAGGAAAGAGACAGACTGGACCAGGCGGGAGAAGACTTCCCCAGAGAAGCCACCATCCGGGAATGGACCGGATGTGGAGTTGAGGCGTGTGTTTCCAGAAGAAGGGACTGCATGTGGAGGGAACACGATGTGTTACATGAGCTAATGCCCTCAAGGAGAGCACGGAGAGAAGAGAGCCAATGGCCCAGATAAGACTGGGCCACATCACCAGGGTCCATCCAATATTGGGACTTGCTTTTTCTATCCCTGAGCAGCCAAAAGCCACAGGAGAAGTTTGAGCCATAGTGGTGATCTAATCTGAATTCTGAAAAACTTGTTCTGTGTGAAATGAAAAGAAAGAGAGAGACCAACGAGAAGGTCCTTTAATTGGGCCAGATGAGATCTGTGGTACCTTGACCCTAGCAAAGAAGCTGAGAAGTCACAGGTGGGTCCAAGAAATATGGAGGAGGTTAAGTAAAATGTAATGATGGATCAGATACGGGGAGAAGGAAGGGAGTAGGTGTCTAGGATGAGTCCCAGGCTTCTGATTAGATGGAAGAGGATACCAGTGCTGAGATAAGAAATGCTGCAAGAGGACCAGCATGGGCTCAGGAGACACCAAGTGAAGCCATCAAATAGGCAAGTAGATACCAAAGTCTGAGGCCAGAGGCAAGTCTGGCCTGGAAAATAAATCCAGAAATCATTAGCAGAGACTAATGGAAGTCACTGCAGATGAAATTGCTCATGAAAGGAATATAGAGCCCACAGCAGGTCTACTTTTAATCCTTAAGGAAGTGTAACATTTAATGGCCACTGAGAAAAATAAAGCAGAAAAGAAAACAGATGAACAGGCTGAGAGCTGGAGGGAAGTAGGCTGGGGGTGGGCGTCCCAGAAGCAGGTAGGACCCCTTGATACTAATCCATCCAGTAATCGGGGGCCTGGAAAATGGCCATTGGATTTAGCAACATGAGGTCCTAGTGACATTAGTTTGATTTTGGGGAGGGGTTGCTTTGTTTTCATCATACTGGGAACTAGGGGTGAATCCAGTATCTTCACACTGAGCTACATCTTCAGCCCATTTGTTAATCTTTTATTTCAAAACAGCATCTTGCTAAGTCACTAAGATGCCTAATCTAAGCTTGCTCTTGCCATCCTCCTGCTTCAGCCTCCCAGAATGCCCTGCTTTGTTTGAATTTCTTTAATGGAATGATGGGGCATGAGTCAGATTGGAGGTGGTTGAGGAATTAGTGGGAAGTACGGAAACACTGTCTGGACCACTCTCAAGAAATGTGATTCTTGGGCCGGGGATTTAGCTCAGTGGTTCCATCACCTGCCATGCAAGCTCAAGGTCCAGAGTTCAATCACTGGTACCAAAAGAAAAAAGAAATGTGATTCTTAATTTTTATAAAAAAGTAAACCCAACCCTAAGCCTATTCTTCCTATCTTGATTTTTTTTTTCTACTCAGTAAGCTGATTTGGTTTTATAACTCAGGATTCAGAGGTCCCAGTTGTGATCTCCCAGTAGCCATGGCAATAAGCCAGCTACACTGGAGTGTGCAGGAAAAATGCCTTGGAGACTGTCCTGCCTCTTCATGAAGCTCTGTCTCTGCAGGCCAGGTCTCCAGGAAGGCCCATCCAAGAAACACTGCTGCAAAAAGGTTTAAGAAAAAACAGAATATTTTTGTAACACCTGCTAAAATTTTTAAGGAGAAACAGGGTCTGGGATTTGCACAGTAAAACATGATAAGCCACAAATTGATCATTGTTGAAGCTGGGTGCTGCTGTATGTTCTCTCTACTTTTGTTTATGCATAAATTTTTCCATAATAAATGATTATTATTAAATTTAGGTATTCTGTGAAATGAGGGTACAAAGAGCCCGTGGCCATCACAGATCCTCTCGGCCCACAGGTCCATAATGTCCAACGTGGCATTGAAGAGCTTCTCTAAACCCAAGCCATTGGCTTGTGGCTTCCGAGTGCCAATGTCACTCTAGATTTTCTACCTTCAAATACCGCCGTTTCTTCTCCTGCTAACCCAAACACCTTGTTCCATGTCCTTCTCCTTTCTCACTTCCCTTCTGGGTGTGGACTCCAAAGCACAGATCTGTGTCTCCTGATCGTTGTAAAGCTGAACCTGTTCCCTTGGAACCAATCTCTGGAAACGAAGCTAATAACATCTGCTTAGCAGTGTCACTGGGAGTGCATTTACCTGGGGTGCCGGAGGATCTAATGCAGCCCACAGCCTCCAATACCCATAAAAGCCAGGAAGGATCAGAAATGGATGAACCTGACCAAGTGTAGAAGAAAACCATGTGACCCTCTTGGCCTATCCTTAGCTTTGCCATAGACATACAAGAAAACGTACGAGAAGAATTATAAGAAAAACTCTATTTCATGAGGAAAAAATGCGAATATGATAACAAATGATATAAACCATCTGTATTCGTGAACTGAGGCCTAGCCTCACTGTGGAGGAGTCACAGGGAGTAGGGGGTGGGGTAACCTGTAGCACGCAGCTCCCCTTGAAGAAGGCAGTTCTGCCAGGCTCCAGCTGCTGGGTGCCAGGAGGGAGTGAGGAGCCAATGTTAACATGTCTTCCTGTTTTACAAGAAAAGCTAGAACCCTAAATTTTTTACGTGAAATCTCCCAATTCTTACCTTTAGGCTCAATTATTTAAAAAAAGAAAAAATATTACAAAAGCCAAACTAAGCCCTTCTCTGGGCCAAAATCAGCCCCTGGGCTACCCGTGTGCAACCTCTCACCTAGCTAATATGTGTAATATCAACTAGTTCCTCTCTCCCACTATGTAATCTTTCCCCCAACTTTCTTCTTTCCCTTTCATGTTCCAATCCTTCTCTCCTAACCACTACCATCCTTCATTTCTGTTCTGAGTCCAAGTGACAGAGAGGACCAGAGTGGGGAAAGCAATAAAGCCCAAGGAGAGGTACTCTGGGTGCCTAGTCATGGCCCAGGGCCTCCTTGGGTGCCTGGCACGTGCTGGGCTAGCAGGAAACCCTGGACGGTTGAATGAATATGCCCATTGCCTGGAGAGTCAGTTCTGTTTCTTGTACGCACTCTGGGCTCACCAGAGGAACTGTCTCCTTTTTCTCAACAGCCTTGCGAAGTCGTTCTGGCCGCTCCATCATCAATGGGAACTGGGCGATTGACCGTCCCGGGAAATACGAGGGTGGAGGGACCATGTTCACCTACAAACGTCCCAATGAGATTTCGAGCACCGCTGGAGAGTCCTTTCTGGCCGAAGGTCCCACTAACGAGATCTTGGATGTCTACGTGAGTTTGCATGTTTCTGGACTATTCTCTGGATTTCATGTTGTTTGCTTCCAAGGAACACACTGAGAACAAATAAGCAACATATCATTGCCCCAGTTCCATAAAATCATGTGTGCAGAGCCCACATTTGAGGTACCCCTTAAATGCTTGGCAGTCATCTTTGCCATTTACCTCTGAATGTACCTAGCCCATAGATACCTTAAACTCTCCCAGATGCTTGTTACCCTCAGACTTTATTTGATCCAGTAAAACCAATTTTACTTGTTGAACCAAATCAGAGGCAAATATATCCTCTATTTCATGAGCACTGGGGGCTCCTCCGGGCACTTTCCAATTAGTGCTAATTTGGCATATTTTCTCTTCATGGCAAAAGAAAGCAAATGCCTTGTGCGAGACAAGACCACTTCAAACTCTATTACAGCAAATGAAGAAACGAGTACCATAGCCCACTCCAGATAAAACAGTAAAGCTCAGAGTGACAACACCAAGGTTTACTAGAAGTTGTAAACTAAAATGTTAAGTTGCCCATGGGTTAAAAATAATCCCTATTTTTAAAGGAAACCATTAGAATCCAGTCTTCTGAAAAGATCAGGGAATAAAGGGTGACAAGAAATAAGAGCTAAAAATAACGTTTGGATAGAGAGAATGAGCTCACCCATAAATACACATTCTCTCGTTGTCCCCAAAGCCAGGTTAGTCTATGTGACATTTGCTGTGTCAGAGTTTTAGAAATATTAATTGCATTATGATTACTTCTCCAACTATATAGTTCTGAGTCCATTCCTCCTGGGTGTAGTGGACTAGAAATTACAAAGGAAGCCTTGTTATAGTTAATTTGGGGTATTTTTTTAGGCTGTCCACTCGGTTGGTTAACTCCGGGTAAATTTTGAATGGTATCAGAGGTAAAGACAAGGTTGTTGAAGGCCTGCTGTGGGTGGTCTGGGAAAGGCAGCCAACAATAATTTCACAAATGGGATTGGGCTCGTATTGGCGGAATGAAAGGGAAGGAGTAAGAGATTGTGTGGAAAGGGAAGTGAGGGGGGGATTGGGGTAGACAGCGGGAGCCTGAGGTCCCACAACTGTGTCCCTTGGCAGTTCTGTGCTCAGTATCAAGTTCCTGCTGCACCCAGGAGTTGGTGCAAGTTCCTAGGGGAAGCACCTAGGGCTGCTTCTGGGTGCCTGCCTCTGGGTGACTGTTGGCATGGGAACCCATTTCTCAAGTCAGGAGGGGTGAGAGACAGTAACATAAATGGAAGACTCAGCACATTCCTCCTCATACAGGGTCCCAGAGACACTTGTAGGTTGACAGAGTTAAGAACCAGCTGTGGTTCTCATCTCCTCCTTCTCCAAATGAAGAAATCGAGATCTGTGGGATTCAAGGCCATGCTCTGAGTCTCACAGCTGGTCAGCAACAGAGCTGCTTCATAAAGCAGTCCAGAAATAAATAGCAAACATGGCAGCATCCCCTTGCTCAGCTCCTGTTTCCGGGTTACATTCGTGTCCCATGGCCCTGTGTAGCCCACCTCCCTCCCCCATGACAGCCATGGCCATGAAAGACTTCATGCTGCATGGCCAACAGGGAGACATTTAGAAAATAGATGCTCATTTCTAATTTGTGTTTTTGTTCGGACGCCGTCCAGCTGCCAATTTCCACAGCCCTGCGGGGCTTGTTGCTGGCTCTCCTGGTTTGAGAGAATGTGACCCAAGGATGCTTACTTCTCATATTCCTGTTTCTCTGACCTGGTCTCTCCGTGGACCTGGGGCTTTCTGTGGAGGCAGAACCCTGAGATCCAACAAGGGAGAGGGCTGGGGCCAACCTTGAGCCAGCCTCTCTGGCCAAGTGCAGGACTTGAAAGGACCCTAATGTCCCAGCCCCACTCTGCCAAGGATGTCTCAGCCTTGTTTGTCTGACTCTGTCTCACCACCTAGTGTTCGAACCAATTTTCCTGCAGTGTAAATACATTTATCTACTTGGGACATTTAGAGCCAAACCTACTCCAAGGTAGAGGATGTCTGAGAGCCAGAAGAAAAGATCTGCTACTGTTACTTCCAGCTTCCTACTTGGAATTTCTAAAAGCTTGACTCATGGTGTAATGGTCTTCTGATTCACTCAAGGATTAAATTCTTCATTCTTCAAAAGCACATGATGAGCCTGGCATAGTGGTGCATACCTGTAGTCCCAGCTACTCCAGAGGCTGAGGCAGGGAGATCACAAGTTTGAGGCCAACCGGAGTAACTTAGCAAGACCCTGTCTCCAGAAAAAAAAAGTGCAAATAAGCAATTGGTGAGACCCCATCTGGAAATTGCACCATTTAATTTGTCACAGGTTTGCTAAGAGTACTAGGTTGCCACCTATGCTGTTGAAACCTAGGCCAGCAGGAAAGGGGCCTTGCATGGGTGCTGACTGCAGTGACATTGCCTTTTCTGTCACCAGATGATACACCAACAGCCCAACCCCGGCGTGCACTACGAATACATCATCATGGGCACAAATGCCATCAGCCCGCAGGTGCCACCTCAGAGGAGACCAGGTAGGATTCTTGTTTTGCCACCAAGCACTTCAAGTCACTTCCCTTAAGGCTTCTCTCTCTCTCCCTCTCTCTCTCTTCTTGTGCCTCCGCCCTCTGTCTCTCAAGCAGTGCAGAGAAAATCCACGTAGAGTCAGTGGGTCTCGATATCAGAGCATGCTATGTGTTCATCCAGGCCTCCCTAATGAGACTGTTTCATGCTCTGTGCTTGATTTAAAGGGGGAGCGAAGTCCTCACCCACCTTTCCAATCCTTTTTTGAGGTGTCTTACATTCATTTCCTGTTGCTGCAGTAGCAAAGTACCTCCAGTCTAGCTGCTCAGAACGAGACACATTCACTGTCTTATTGTTCAGAGTCTGATGGGTTTCACAAGACCAAAATCAAGGTATCAGCAGTGCCATCCTCATCGCTCCGGGGGAGAGCCTGCTTCCTTCCCGCTTCCAGCTTCTGGGGGTCCCTGGCTTCCTTGGTTCCTGGCCCCTTCCTCCAGCTTCCAAGCTAGCAGGGTGGCACCTTCCAGTCTGTCTCCTCTGACTCTGGTTTCTTCCATCACCACATCTCCTTCTCTGCTTCTCATCTTCCTGCCTCTCTCCTTTCCAGGGTCCTTTAAGATCACCCGTGGCCTAGCCAGACAATCTGTCCATGTCAAAATCCTTCATTTAATCACATCTGCACAATCCCTTCTGCCACATAAGGTCACAGATTCCAGAAATTAGGCACCTTTCCAGAGTTTTGCTTTTCTCTTGGTCCTCCACTGCCTCTGTTAATAACCTTTTAACCAATCAGAAAAGGATGGCAAGTTCGAGCTGAGTGATCCACCTGGGGAACTCCCAGGGCCAGGGCGCTGGGGGTGGATAGAGCCAGCAGCATTGGCCCAGACCTGGATGGGGCACCACTGTCTGCAGCCCTTGCCCCAGTGGCTGGGGAGGGAGCCCACTGCCCTGGGGGAGGCTGTGGAGATACTGAGAACAAGGGGAGCCCACAGGCCCTGGGCCCCCGGTCTCTGAAATCTCACAGCAGTGCTCGGAGGGAAGGACTACTGGGTTATTAGCCTCACCTGAAGAGTAAGGAAATGGAAGCTTAAGGAGGTCAAGTTCCTCATCCACATCTCAGCCCTGCTCAGTGACCTCAAGATGGCCTTGTGCCCAGGCCCTGTGCTGTTACCCTGCCCAGAGGGGTCCTGGCTAGGCACCTGCCCTGGAAGAGAGGGGATAAGTGCCAGAGCTAGCCAGGCCATCCTTCTCCGGGCTGCGAGTTGGTAACTGGTCATCTGACTGTCACAGGCTGCGGAGGAGTGGCCTGGCTGCCTGGGGACAGCATGTGGTGGGTGCCCAGCACATGGGATGGGGTGTCATCCACACCCCAAGCCAGCACACCACCCGAACAGAGAATCGGTATGCCCTTTCCAGGAGCAGAGACCAAGTTTCTCCTGGAAAATGTCAGGATTGCTGGGACCCGCTGTTGATTTTAGGGACGGTTGGACACACTGAGGTCAAGTGCAGTGATGACATTTGAGAACAGGCCCATGGGTCCAGCGAGTGGGTAGCAGGAAGGTTCTGGGATCAGCTGCCTGGGACAGCCCAGTGGGAAGGGGTCAGTCATAAAGAGGGATGAGGAGGGGCCCTGGGAACCAGGTTCCCTGCTCCATGTTAACAGATCAGGACGCCAGTCTGAATCCACATCTGCCACTTCATTGCTGCGCACCCTCAGGCTAGTTAGTAACTTCTCTGAATCCATTCCCAGTCTACAAAATATAGGGAAAGAAACTATATTTGAAAGTGCTCTTTTGGGGAATGTGGAAGGAGGTAAATAAATTGGGTGTCCATGTTAGTGTAGTATCCAGCACGTGCAAGGTACTAGGAAGATTCAGAAAAGTTTTTGTCTGATAATATCCTGGACAGCCACACGGATATCAAGGATATCAACATGCCTGGACTCCTTTCTGTTGGCCTAATCTTCCTTTAACATTTTGGGCTCAGGATTTAGCTCAGTGATTCCACTGCCTGCCTCGAAAGCACAAGATCCCGAGTTTGATCCCCAGTACCAAAAAAAAAAAAAAAAAAACACAACATTTTAAACCACAAAGTATGGTAATTGGCCAATTAGGAAAGTACCAGTAAAAGATGGAGAAAGCCCTAACATTTTCCACTGTGTCCTACATTAACTCTAGAATTTGCCTCCTTATTTTTTTTATTAAACTGATACACACTTGAACAACATTGAAGTAAAATAAAAATATATAAATTCAAAACATCTGCCCCATAATTGCCCAAATTCAGAAGCCACCAAGATGCACTTCAGTGGGTGAATGGATCAACCAACAGCGCTGCATCCAGACAGTGGAATGACATTTGGGGGTGAGAATAAAAGCTTTCAAGCCACCACACGACACAGAAGGATCTAAAATGCATGTCACTAAGTGAAGAAAGCCAGGCTGGTGGGGCTGCATACTGATTGATTCCAATTATCTGACCCTCCGGAGAAGTCAGAATTATAGAGAATAAAAAAGAAAATCAGCAGTTGCCTGAGGTGGCAGAAGAGCCTGATGGGGACTGTGGGGCAGTGTCCCCGTCCTGTAGGACACTGTAGTGGTGGGTGCATGTCGCTCACATGTGTCCAGACCAGCAGATGTTTGTCGCATCTCTGAGTGTGAACCTCGTGAGAACTGTGGACTCCGGGTGGCAGTGATGTAGAGATGGGGCTCGTCAGAGTGGCAGATGTACCCTGTGGTGTGGGCTGTTGGTCATGAGGCTGTGCATGTGTGGGATCAGAGGCCTGGGGAATCTCTGTTCCTTCCACTCACTTTTGCTATGAACCAAGAATTGCTCTTTAAAAATTAAAAATGTTTTTAAAGCAGCAGCCTCCATCCCCATCCCCTTCCCAGGGGGAATCTCTCTTAACAATTTAATTTGATGACATTCTGCCTAAGCCCTTTCTGTCCATGTGCAAATATGTCTGCAGACAATTTGAATCTTTGTGTACAATCTCAGATAGACAGGGAATATCAAATATCATTATTTTTCATTAGTCAACTTAATCTGACTTCAACTTCAATCTTCTGTGAAACTGGTAAAAAATTCAATCTCAGTTGGTATGGGAACTACGCGCACACACACTCCAGGTAAGAGGAAAGATCCCAGAGTCTTAGAGGGCCGTTGGCCGTACCCTCTGGAGATCTCTCCATACCATTTCCATGGAGTTGTCCCCAGGAGTGTCCTTCATGACTTTCAGGTTAGGGCTGTGGCTCTTTCAGCCTGTGCTGGGGCCTCAGGATGCTGGGGAACCATGGCCCCAACCCCACCCCAGACATGGCCTCCTCCTGCCTGGCACATGAAAGAAAGCTGCTCAGAAACCCATATGGCCTTCTCCTTGTTGGGAACATCTCTGTCTGACAGAGCACTGTCCCTTCTTCTCCCCTCCTCCTCGTCCCTTCTCCCTCCTTCTCTTCCTCTTCTTCCTTTCTTCCTTCCACTTCCTCTTCAGCCAATGCCCTGAACCTCCACTTTCCCCTCCCTGAGAGCCCAGGCTTGTGCTGTGGTAAGAGAGAGCTATTGACTTCCACCAGCTTTCATTTTCTCTCCTGCAAAAACAGCAACACCAGAAAATCTCAAGGCGAGGCTACTCTTTCAGACTGGAAGATCAGGGAGGGGAACCAAGGTAGAGAACCAGACACAAGTTAATGGTGTATGCAGAGCAAATCCTGTGCTTCCTTTGTGTTGTTGCTGATCAAACACCACACTGGAGCCCTTCTCCCTGTTAGAATATATATTTCTGCATTCTTTTTCAAATAAAAACCGAGTGTAGCATAATATATTTTAACCACTACCTCCAGTGAACATTGAAGTCCTCTCTACTGCTTTACTCTTTCAAATAATACTTTAGTAACAGTACTTGTACTCCCAGCTTTATGTAAAGAATGACAGTATCTAACTATAAGTCTGGATACTGAGTCACTGAATCAAAGGTGTATGCATTTCCACGTTGATTGCTGATGCCAGACGGTCCTCCAAAACTTGGCGTCTACTTTCAGGCTCACTCACAGTGAATAAAAGTGTTTTTCTGCACCTTTGGCCAGTGCTTTAGGGACTTAACAGCTTCCAAAGTGTCCAGTCCTGATTACACAGAGTTATCAATGTTCCTGTTCTTGTCTCTGTAGGTATTTCTTTCATTATGGGAGGAGCATTTCTGCGTGACTTTTGGCTGTTTCTGTTTCTTTTGTATGGGAACTCCCCCCTCCGTAGGCCCTGCGCTCTTCTCCTATTGGGAAGCCCATCTTTTTCTTATTGAGTTTTGATAATGTTTTGGATATTAGGGAAATTAGTGTCCACTTCTTTTAAATATCGTGTGCTCGGTGCTGAGGAATAGAAATGATCTCGCACTACGTGATTTCTAATGTTGAAGCCTTGTCCTCTTTCAACTCTGTGTCCACCCTGGTCTTGCTGTGTGCGTCACCGGCCTGTCCCAGGGGAGCCCTTAAATGGCCAGCTGGAAGCAGAAGGCAGGAGCCAGGAAGACGGAGAGGAGGAGAGGGCTGAGGAGAAGGAGGACTTGCGTGGGGAGGCCCGGGAGATCTTCCCCTCCGAGGCGGCTCAGACCTTCCCTGTCAGGCATCCAGACAGATTTTCTCCCCATCGGCCAGACAACTCAGTGCCACCAGCGCTGCAGCCCCCAAGGCGGAGCAGGGATCACAACTGGAAACAGCTGGGGACCACAGCGTGCTCGACAACCTGCGGGAAAGGTGAGCCTGCGTGTGGGTCTCCACAGAACTGGAGCCCGGAGGGGAGGGCCCCAGGGACACGGAACATGGCAAACCCTCGCCTCTGAGAACCTCCCCGTGAGATGGGGCCTTGGTGTGACGTGTTGTGTTAGAGGTCCCGAGACGCCCCGCAGAGTCCCCAGGATGCTCACCCGGGCTCTGGGGTCCAGAGTTTTCCTGGGGATGAGTCACATAGGCATAAGGTCAACTACCCCAGAGGTCACTGCCAAGGCTCAGGCATCCAAAAGCAGCATCCACTGTAAACCACGCCCCTGTCATAAATCAAGTTGGCAAACGCCCAAGGCAGGGCCCACATGCTCATTGAGGAGAAACACTCCTCTCAGGCTGAGTAGCCCAAGGGCACCACACTTGTCTCCCAGAAGCTGTCCACAAACATCAGAGTTTGGGCTACCCAGGCCTTCTGAGCTAAGCCTTCCGGGACATGGACGTTTGTTAAAGTCACAGAATACACTCACACATTCAAGATCTGAAAGTTTATACACAAGTCTAGGTTGTGGAAGGCTTACAAAAATGCCCTTTGAAACTCATTCTCAAATCTAAAGATTTCAGAAAACACCCCTCAAATGTAAGGATTTCAGAAGGGACCAACTCCCTTCCATGCTCTCCCAAAAAAGTCTTAATTGTGGATTCATCAATTGTCCTTGACCCAGTCCGCTAGGACCAGTAGGAACAAACCTGAAGCCTAACAAAACCAGCTTTATTAACTCCTTGCTTAAGACAGACCACACGTGAGAAGCATCTCTCCAAACAAAAGAAAAGACAGTTTCAGGCTTTGTGAGACGGGGAGAGATTCAGACAGATTTAAATGAGGCTGGGTTGATGGTAGACTCGAAGCAAAGCATGGCTGTAGCAAAGAGGTTAACATCAAGTCCCAACTGTGACATGGACCCAGGGGCCTGTTTCCTTGGAAATTCCAAAGTTAGGATAGATGTGGGGTGTGGTACATGGAGCCCCTGGGTTGGAGATCAGCACTCCTTCTGTTTCAAGGTGACTTAGATCTCCTTGCAAGGATACAACTACAAAATGTATAGTTCCAGTGCCCTTCGTGTGTGCGATAATAGTCTTTCATTCAGAGCGAAGTCTGTTTCGGCCCCTAAATCAGCTGTTCTCACAGGGGAGGTTACTGTATAAACAGAAAGGCTGGATGCCCCAGGACTTCTTACAAACTGGGAAATGGTGTGATCTGTGCAGAGTATCGTTTTGGCGATTTTTTTCTTTTCTTTTCTTCAAGAGTCTTGGATCTGAGGGTATGAAGTTTAGAAGCAGTGACATAATGAGCACATGGAAATATTTCTCACAACTGCTTCTAAAACTTTTATCTTTTTCACAGGGGCATTGGTCTGGGGCGTTTGAGAATAGGATTTAGGTCTTTGGTTCCTTTGAGAACTGGAGGTCTTTCTGCCCAATTCCATAATGACGTGGTGACTGGAGTATTAATTTGCAGAGGTTTTATTGTGCCAATTTCATCGTGCTCAGGTTTGATACATGTGCTAAGAATGTGGGCCAGAGGTTCCTTGAACTGACTTCCTTTATAAGCTCTGTGAGAGAAAATAAAAGGCCTTAGATTATGTCTTGACAGAGCCAGAAAGCGAGATTATGCTGCATTGAGCCAGAATCATTTTAATAAGATTCCATCCATGACATTATAGAAATACGTGGTATGTAATGCATGCGTCAGGAAGAAAGATCCAAATGGGTTATTTCAGAAGATTCTGCTGTGGAGGTGGTGGCATGGTGTCCATTACAGGAACCGGGTAGGGTCAGAACTGGATGAGACGCTGGGAAAGCGGTAGAAAGGATGAGACCTGTGGTTGCTATAGGGGTGGCCTGTCCAGGACTGTAAGGCACTGCTGTGGACGTCCAGACAGAAGCCCAGAAGCGCAGACCATTTGCCAGCCCGTCCCTCATACTGCACCTAGTGCTCTGTTCCCTGGTCAGGAGCTGCCTGCTCACCCAGGGGCAGATCCAGCAGGCCGTGCCCTCTTCTCCCTCACACGTGATAGAGCAACCCCATATGCAAAGGACCCTCGTAACTCTGGACCCCAATCCAACCCTGGCTGTGTGATCCATGCAGAAGTAAAACCTCCCAGTCTCAAGTCTGGGTCCCACCTAGGCATCTTAGCAAGGCCCTTTCTCAAAATTTAAAAAAAGCTGAGGCTGTAGCTCCAATGTGAAGTCCCCACCCCCACCACCTCAAAACAGAGAAAAACTCGGGCCAGGGATTTAGCTCAGTGGTTCCGCTGCCTGCCTCGCAAGCACAAGGACCTGAGTTCGATCCCCGGTCCAAAAAAAAAAAAGAGAAAAAAACACTCCCTCCTTTACTGTCTGGTCAGCAAACAGCTGCTCACACTCCAAGACCTAACTCGGGTTCCACCTTCTCGGTGCAGCCTTCCTGACTCTCCAGGACACGGGTAGGCACTTTGTTCTTGGGACCTGATGGCAGTCTGGGACACATTGCAGCCGCTGTACCTGGCACCATGGGTTGGACAGTGGGCTCCCTCAGTGAGTCTTGGACACATCATCACCACATTTCAGAGGGGGCTTATAGGAGGGGCAGAAAAGATGCAGGGGTGGCTTTTACATCTTTATTATATTCTACATATTCAAGCCTAGTCCTGCCTTTACCCATGGTCTATCAGTAGCAGATAGAATGCAGGTTCTGTATTTAAAATGGTAGCATCTTTGCCTCTAGGTTTCCATAGGATTGCGTTTAATCTTCTAAGGTAGCATTTCACCTTTACATCGCAGAGACACACACAGTAGGTGTCTGTCTGTCTGTGTCTCTCACTCTAACCCAGCGCGCGCTCTCTCCCTCTCTCCCTCTCTCCCTCTCTCCCCTCTCCCTCCCCCTCCCCTTCCCCTCCCCTCCCCTCTCCCTCTCTTCCTCTCTCTCTCTCCCTCACTAGAATGTGCGGTATGGCATTTAGTATACATCCCCACCCTCTGTCACTCAGTGTCTGAGATGTGACTTCCCATTCTCTTCTTTATCCCACTAAGTGGTCCTGGTTTTCAAGCCAAGAAATGCCTTGGAGGGGGAATTGTCCCCCACTCCTGCCCCATCTGATGGTCTTAGGGCCCTTTCTCTTCGCATTGACAAATGGCAGCAGCATGTGAGTGTCCCTCCTTTGCCCCCCCTAGAGAGGTGGCCCCAAACATGCAGGACAGGCAAATTGGAGAGAAAATGTGGATGCCTGAAACACATAGCTCACCTCAGGGTTGTCACAACAGTGACAAGTGTATGGCTAAGAAGTGGCACGCCTACCCACACTGACTAGCCCTTTCCCGTACAACCTGAGTCCATGCCCCTGTGAGCTCACCATCTGCCCCTTACAAACCTTCTCCCAGACACTGTCCCGGCGTGTCTGGGCCCCACTGTCTGCAAATGCTTTCGGCAGCGCCCTGCCAGTCCCAGCACTGTCCTCAGGGCTGTCCACGAGGGACCCACGCTCCATAGGGCCACTGCCCAGACCTTTGTCAAAATCCTGGTTTGGTTCACCTCCTCCTTCCTACAGTTCCAGCTCTAGATTTATTCATTTATTTTGTGCTTCTCCTTTTGTCTAGTTAACCTCCGCATGCCCTCTGCGTTCACCTCATTTATTACCTACTAGTTACCCATGGTACAGTGCCCATCTCCAACATGACCCACTTCTCTTCTGACTCGTGTGCTCACATATGAGCTGGAAAACCAACCCCAGATTTGTCCTGCTGCCCAAAGCCCAGCTGGCACCAGCCTTGCACTCTCGATTGCTCGAGATTAGAGGGATCACTGGATCAGGGTCTCAGGTAATGGGAGGTGTCCAGGTGCCAGCTGGGGGACAGTCTGCCTTTCTGCAGATTTTAAAACTGACCCAAGGAAAGAAACTCTTGCAGTCCCTGGGGCCCAGAGCTGTAGATCTGGTGTTTTCTCACCACCAGAGAAACTAAGAGCCTCTGATTTCACTTCCTTGGTTCATCTTCATGGAGCTGGACCATGGATAGGGACAGTGTGGTGAAACAGTGGGGAGGCAAGCAGCAGCCAGCTGCTACACAGCCCCAGCAAGACCCTCCTTGCAGGCACAGGGCGTTCCTACGGCATCCCACATCCTCTGAGCTAAAAATATTAGGTGTCCCCCTGTGATCGACAAGTGGTTAGGGCAGGACCTTTGCTTTCCTGTCCACAAACTCATAAGCAGAAAAGTTAAAGCCACGCGACCTGGAGGGAAAGGAATAGGCAACATAAGATCTTTATTTAATCCCTTACTGGCTGAGTTCCAAATGGGTACACTGCATGCCGTGAACTGAGCCCCAGTCATTTTTATAACTCAGCATAGTATGCTTAATGTTTGCTGAATGTAATTAAAATCTCTTTAATGGAAGGAGATACGTAGCTGAACAAAATTTAACCCCACAAAAGTTCACTTCCCATTAATTTTACAGTCAGGACTGCTTTTTACTCAGCTAATAATTAGGCTTAATTGGAATATTATTTTAAATAATGGTCTCAAGTTATAGCAGCAGTGTAAGTTTTTACTCCCAGAGTAATTTAAGCAAATGACCGTTTCAAATTCAGTGTGTCTTACAGACTGTCGAATTCCTGACAACAACTGCCCTCCAGCTCAGTGTGTCATACAAGGCCAGCCTGAAGGGTCTGTAGGGCCCTGCCATGGCTGGTGATGTAGTAAGATGCTTATATTAAAAGTCACCCTTCATTCAGGCCATGGTGGCACACGCCTGTAACCCCAGCAGCCAGGAGGCTGAGGCAGGAGGATGGCCACGAGTTCAAGACCACCCTACGCGGGACCTTGTATACAGCAGGACCTTGTCTCAAAAGAACAAAACAGAACAAGTTCGCCTTAATATTACAATTAAATTTGTTAAGTTGGAGGTCCAAAAATTATAAATGCCTAGCTAGTTAGCAGCAGAGATAAGCAGAGTCTTGCAATAAATGACAGTGTTCTTCCCAGCAGCAGTTGTGAACTGGCTCCACTGGGGTGGACGGCTGTGTGCGAAGGTGGTTGGTTGGGACTGCACATTCTGTTAGTAACTTTTTCTCACTTCCGGAACATCCCTTAGTAGTGCCCCAATCCTACCAGCAGATGGCAGCAGAGACAGAAAGGCAAACTAGAGAGCTAGAACTGTCACTTAGCAAATTCTGGCTTTTTATCCAAAACCGTTTTACCCTTATTAAACCAGCGATAGTAGGTATGCATTTAAAACCAAAACCTGGGGCAGTTAGGGAGTTTGTTTTTAGCAAAGTACTAAAAATAAGTATTACATCTCTGATATATACTTATTCAACAACCGTGTACTGAACGCCTGCGCTTTGCTAGGTCCTGGGGGTTAGAAGTGGACAAAGCTGGAGGAGGACGGAGGGACAGTCATCCTGGTCCGCGGCCTCCCTTCCGCCCGCGCATCTGCACCAAGGCCGGCTCTCACGTGAGCAGGGTGACCTCGGCCCCGGGCCATGTCTTTCTTGCAGGATCGCAGTACCCGATTTTCCGCTGCGTGCACAGAAACACTCACGAAGAGGTTCCCGAGAGCTACTGCGACCCCAACATGAAGCCGACCCCTGAGGAGGAACCCTGCAACCTCTTCTCCTGCCCGGCCTTGTAAGAGCGACGCTTGCGTCCAAGCCTCTGGGTAGCGGGTTGCTGGCACGAGCCCTTAGGAGCAGATAGAGCCACGTTTCCAGCCTCTCTCTGATCAGTGTGGGACGCGGTCTCCAGAGCAGCCTGCCTGGCTTTGGGGCAGGGGCTCCAAGCCCACCGTCTTCACGAAGCAGCGCATGGAGCCAGGGCGCCCTCCATGGGGAACTGGGGCCAGGCAGGGTTTCTCCTGGGGAGGAGAGCGGAGGAGGAGGCGCAGGTGGGAAGGGTGCTGAACCCAGGGGCAGAGTGTGGCAGGTCACCCGGAGGGGACAGAAGGGGGTCTGGAACTGGCTTTGACTGTTTTTGAGTGACACACAGGGCACCTCCAGAAGAATGAGGAAAGGCCCTCGAAGGCCAAAATATAATTCCCTGAGTAATACAAATATAATCCCCAACCTGGACACAGAATGAGCACGTGCTGCTGTTGTAATTGATAAGAAGGCGGGCCTGGTGACACTCGTCTGTAATCCTAGCGTTCAGGGGACTGAGGCAGAAGGATCGCCACAAGTTTGAGGTCAGCCTGGGCTACATGGTGAAACCTAGTCTCAAAAAAAAAGAAAAAAAAGTAACAAGAGTGGGATGGTGAAGGAGGGGATATGAGTGTGCATGGAAATAGTGAAAAGTAAAGAATGCTTACTTCCGAGATGGGTTCATGTTCCACCGGGAATAAACTGGCCTTGGCAGCACCGGGGCTTTTAGGTTAGCTTACTAGATGGAAGTCATGAGTAGCGTCTCCAATCTTCTGTACCTGTGTGCAGACGGTGGCCCCCGTCACTGGTAGGCAGCGTGTGAGACAGAGCCACCCCCTTCCAGAGTCCGTGACCGCTAGGAGGAGCCCCACACCATGTGAGTGGGCTTGGCGGCTCCCATTGCCATTAACGGAAGCCTCTGTCTCCCTCTCGCCCCTCCTGAGCCAGCTGGGACATTGGGGAGTGGTCCGAGTGCAGCAAGACCTGTGGGCTGGGTATGCAGCACCGCCAGGTGCTGTGCCGCCAGGTGTACGCCAACCGCAGTCTCACGGTGCAGCCCTACCGCTGCCAGCACCTGGAGAAGCCGGAGACCACGAGCACGTGCCAGCTCAAGATCTGCAGCGAGTGGCAGATCCGCACCGACTGGACCTCGGTACGGCCCCTCTCCCTCTCCCGCCCCTTGTGCCAGGACCAGATGGGGAACCCTCAGCCCCAGAGAGGACCCCACCCCAGGCTGCCCGCTGGCTGTGTTTGCAGGTCACAGCTCACACCAACAGCTGGACAGGGCGCCGGCCAGTGCTGCTCACCCAGCCCGCCTTGGGGTCCCATGGAGCCCGTGCCTACTGACCTCGCCTGTCCCCTGGCAACCTGGAGCCGGCATGGTGGCACAGGCCTGTAATCCCAGCACTCAGGAGGCTGAGGCAGGCGGATCACCTTGAGTTCAAGGCCAGTCTAGCTACATAGTGAGACCCTGTCTCAAAACAAATAGAAAAGCAGAGCCATTGGTTGGGAAGCCAAGCCCCAGAGGAATGAAGTAGCAGGGGTCCCCACAATGCAGGTGGCCTCACCCCATCCAGGGCCTGGTGACTCAGAACACACCCCGGGCGCTGAGGTGGGCTTGCTGTGTTTCAGTGCTCCGTGCCCTGCGGCGTGGGGCAGAGGAGCCGAGACGTGAAGTGCGTGAGCAACCTGGGTGACGTGGTGGCCGACGAAGAGTGCAACGTGAAGCTCCGGCCCGGCGACATGGAGAACTGCGACCTGGGGCCCTGCGCCAAGAGCTGGTTCCTGGCAGAGTGGAGCGAGAGGGTGCGCGGGCACCGGGAGCCGTGGGCCGGTCTCAGGCCACTGGGGTCCTGAGCAGGGCACCCGCGGGGGCTCCAGGGCTGACTGGCGGCCCACAGAAAAGGCCCAAGGCTCATCGTTGCGGGCTGTGTCCTCCCTCGAGGACTGAGGACTGCGGATGGAGGAGTGGGCGTAAAAAGAACTCTCAGTCTCCTTAGTGTTCCATGACTTTATTAAATAGCGAGACAGGAACTGTGGTGCGTGGTAGCCTCACACCATCCTGTGCTCTGTGCGTGACAGCATAGAATGGGCATTCAGCCAATGGTGGGCACCTTCTCAGCTTTTTAATAACTAAAAATGCTGAAACCCTGGGCCCCTCCCAGCGGCCTGGTCTCCCTAAACAGTGAGTTCAGGACCAATAGTGAGTGCATAGTGAGACCCTGTCCCAAAAAATCAAGGTGTGGTGTGGTACATGCCGGTAATCCCAGCACTCAGGAGGCTGAGGCAGGAAGATTGCTGTGAGTTGGAGGCAAGCCTGCTCAAGGCCAGCCTGAACTACATAGCAAGACCCTGTCTCACAAAAAAAAGAAAATAAAAAATAAGGCAAAAGGGCCATAAGGGGCAACCACTGGGATGGAGTGGGTTGTGCATGTAAAGTCGAAGAAGATGCAGCAGGAAGAGGTGTCACACCCTCCAGAGCCCCCCTGGTCCACACATCTGACCTCTAACATGCCCTTCTCCCATCATCCCGCAGTGCTCAGCGGAGTGTGGGGCTGGCGTGCGGACGCGCTCGGTGGTATGCATGACTAACCACGTCAGCAGCCTGCCCCTGGAGGGCTGTGGGAACAACCGGCCAGCCGAGGCCACCCCGTGTGACAACGGGCCCTGTGCAGGCAAGGTGGAGTGGTACTCGGGGAGCTGGAGCCAGGTGAGTGTCCGGGACCAGTGTATGGGTCTATCCCCAGCAAGAGGCAGCAGCACGGCAGAGGGGTTGGGAGGCAGGACTTTGTGGCAGGTGTCCCAGCTTTGAATCCAGCTGTTCCATTGCTACCTGTGACCCTGGACAAGGTGCTACCTATGCTGTCAGCACCCCATTAGGTCAGTGGTCCTCACTGAGTACTTACTAGGTGCTCACTTAAGCACTGGGGCTATGCCCAACATCTCTGGCCTCGGGAGCTTCTGGTCTGGCGAGGTTTCCCTGTCTCTAAGATGCTGGCGATGATGGCTCCACATGAAGTCATGAAATAAAGTCCCTAAGGTGACAAAGTGCCTGACACACAGGAAACACAGGAAGTCTTAGCAGCTGCTGCAGCGGATACCGTCACCATGAGCAATCCCAGCTTTGCTTACACCTCACTGTCAGAAGCTGAAATGGCGAAAGTCATAATTTTGCACATTCTAAAGAACAGGTGATACCAAATGATTAACAAAATAATGAATTGGTGAGTTAGTGTCTTCCTCCCTGTTCTAGTACTGAACATGAGTCCTTTAGGAAAATGAGAACGGCTGTTCTCCACCTGCCTCCTTGCAATTCCCTCCCATGCTCAAGTTCTCAGACCGCTTTTCGTTCAGCTCAGTGCTGCCTGCCTCTCTAGGGACCTTTCAGCATCAGCACGATGTGCACATTTGTGGGGCCTCTGGCTCCATAGAGAATTGTATTTCTTTTAAGTAACTTTAAAAACAGACCTTTAGGGCCATGGATTTAGTTCAGTGGTTTCGCCGCCTGCTGCACAAGCACAAGGACCGGAGTTTAACCTCCAGTACCAAAAAAACAAAAACAAAAACAAACCCCAGACCTTTAAAAATCAGCTGCTTGTCCTTATAAATTGATATAAGCAACCGAATCAGCCCACTGCAGACAGGCAGGTCTGCAGACACGGTCCTGAGGTCACCAGTCATGCTGAAAACACCAAATCAGCCCTCGCCCTGGGAGCAATCCACTGGACCCCCCTTTGGCCTCTTCTCTGTACAGCCACCTGGTTCCACAGTACAAAGACTCAGAGGACACCGGACCACCAGACCACTATACTGGAGCTAATCAAGTTATCAGCATTTAAAGAATTCCTGCCCAGAGGTAGGGGCTTCTGAGCCGCCGTCCCACTGCTCCTGGTCCAGAGGAAGGAGCTTCCAGGCCACCATCCCTACCACCACTCCTGGCCACTGGCCCACCTCTCCCAGCTCAGAACACCATCCCCCCGTCCCCCCCAGTTGAAATGAGGAAACACGTAAATAAGTCTCAAAATCAGACTTCCAGATCACCTACAGCAACCCCAAAGGGAAAAGAGATGGAACACTCTGATACTCAACCACCTGGACCCACTGAACTGGCAACAAAAGGGGATCTGGAAAAAATAAAATCAGAAAT